GTTATTCTTGCTAGAAGATTATCCATTTTTAAAATCTTTTTTCAAAGGATTCACTTGAGGATTCATTGAATTTTCTCCATTATTTTTCTCTTTTCAATTTTTTTTCTTTTTTTAATTTTTGGCCACAACCGGCAGCATGTGGGATCTTAGCTCCTGGCCAGGGACCAAACCTGCAGCCCTGCATTGGAAGGCAGAGCCTTAATCACTGGACTTCCGGGGATGTCCCTCTTTTCAATTTTTATTGGTTTCAGTTTTTATCTTAATTGTTTCTTCTCTTCTGCTGGCTTTTGGCTTCTTTTTCTCTTTTTCTAGTTTCTTAAGATAAAACTTTAGGTTATTGATTTGAGATTTTTTTCTTTTTTTCTAATATATGCATTTAATGATATGAACTTCCCTCTAAATATTGCTTGAGATTTACCCCTGAAATTTTGATATGTTGTGTTTTAATTTCATTCAGTTCAAAATATTTTCTAATTTTCTAATTTTCCTTAAGACTTCTTCTTGACTCGTGGATAATTTAGAAGTGTGTTGTTCAATTTTTCTGTTATTGATTTCCAGTTTAATTCCACTACAGTCAGAAAACATACTTGATATTATTTCAGTTTTTTAAAATTTATTAAGCTGTGTTTTATGGCCCAGAATGTGGTCTTTCCTGGTGACTGTTCTAGTGCACTTGAACAGAGTGTGTATTCTGCTGGTTTTGGTTGGGGTGTAAATGTCAGTTAGATGAAGAAGGTTGATGGTAGTGTTCAGGTCTCTCAAAGCCATACTGGTTTTCTGACTACTAGTTCAAGCACCAAGTGAGGAGTGTTGAATTCTCCAGTTATAATTATCTGTCTATTTCTCCTATCAGTTTTTTTTAATAAATTTATTTATTTAATTTTGGCTGCGTTGGGCCTCTGTTGCTGCGCACAGGCTTGTCTCTAGTTGTGGCGAGTGGGGGCTACTCTTCATTGCGGTGCGCGGGCTTCTCATTACAGTGGCTTCTCTTGTTGTGGAGCACGGGCTCTAGGCGCACGGTCTTCAGTAGTTGTGGATCACAGGCTCTAGAGCGCAGGCTCAGTAGTTGCGGTGCACGGGCTTAGTTGCTCTGTGGCATGTGGGATCCTCCTGGACCCTGGCTCCAACCCGTGTCCCCTGCATTGGTAGGTGGATTCTTAACCACTGCACCACCAGGGAGGCCCCCTCCTATCAGTTTTTTGTTTCATGAATTTTGAAAGTCTGTTGCTTGGTGAACACACACTTGTAGTTACTGTGCCTTCTTGGTGAATTGACTTTTGTCATCCTGTACTGCTGCTGACATTCCGCTGCTAAGTTCATTTACTTTGGTGCTAACATAGCCACTTCCATTTCTTTCGATTGATGTTTGTATGGTATATACTGTTCCATCCCTTTGCTTCTAACCTACCATGTAACTGTATTTGAAATGAGTTTCTTATAGACAGCACACAGTTGCATCATGTATGTTTTTTAATCTAATCTGAAGTTTGTCTTCTAATTGGCCAGTTTAGACCATGTGCATTTAATGTGACTATTGATATGTTTGAATTTAAGCCTCTCATTTGTTATTTGCTTACTGTTCTGTCCCTTGGTTTCTCATTGCTTGGCTTCCCTCTAACTGCCCTCTTTGGGGTCAGTTTTTTAGTGTTCCATTTTAATTTATCTGTTGAGTTTTTGAACACATGTCTTCCAGTTTTTTAGTAGTTGTTCTAGGGACTACAAAATACATACTTCACTTTTTGAAATCTACTTAGACTCAACATTTTGACACTTCCAGAAGAACACAGAACTCCTACTACATGTACATGTCAAGGAAAAATTAATCATCACTCATGTTAAAGATGATGAGGTGGGGCTTCCCTGGTGACGCAGTGGCTGAGAGTCCGCCTGCCGATGCAGGGGACGCGGGTTCGTGCCCCGGTCTGGGAGGATCCCGCATGCCGCGGTGCGGCTGGGCCGGTGAGCCATGGCCTCTGAGCCTGTGCGTCTGGAGCCTGTGCTCCGCAACGGGAGGGGCCACAGTGGTGAGAGGCCCACGTACCGCAAAAAAAAAAAAAGATGATGAGGCGGACTCAGGACCGTCACGATGGGTGTAGGAGCCACTGCAGTGGGATTTGCAGGAGGGGAGAGAGATTGACCTCAACTTCAGATACAGCGTCGGCAAGTGTGGGTTCACAGCCAAGGAGCAGGTGGAGTCATTGGATGGAAATTTGCTAAGAGGAAACATCAAGGGTCAGGGGGATTCTGGCTAAACCGACCTAACAGGATCTTTGAAAGCCTGGTGGTCAGACATCAAGTGCGAGATGGTGGGGGATGAGGAACCTGGTCAGATATGAGGGTGAGCAGATATCAGGGTGGAGGGGGCCTCTCACTACACTGACTTAGCCAAGTTCTTGCTAAAACTGGATTTTTTTTAAAGGTTTTTTTTTTGCTTGTCTTTATGGAAATGATGTTAGTTTTTTTTTTTTAACATCTTTATTGGGGTATAATTGTTTTACAATGGTGTGTTAGTTTCTGCTTTATAACAAAGTGAATCAGTTATACATATACATATGTTCCAATCTTTGTCACCACTCTGTGGGTCACTTTGCCCTCTCCCTTTTAGGTTGTTGTTGTCATACGTAACGTCTATGTATACGGTAAGCTCCATTAAACAATGTTATAATTTTTGCTTTCAATGGTCAAAATATTTTTAAAGTACTCATGAGGAAAAGAGTAGTCAGTTTTATTCAACCAGATATTTACCAGTTCTGTTGCTTTTCCTTTACTTCTGATCTTCCAGGTTCATTCTGGTGTCATTTCTGTTCTGACTGAAAATTCTGTAGTCATTGTTTTAGGTCAGATCTGCTGATGACAAATTCTCTTCTTTCTTCATCTAAGAATGTCCTCACTTTATCTTCATTCCTGAAGGTTATTTTCACTGGATTTGGAATTCTGGGTTGACAGTTATTTCAACACTTAAAAAAAATGTTATTCCACTTTTTTCTGGCCTCCATTGTTTCTGCTGAGAAGTCAGTAGTCGTTTGAATGCCTCTAAGTTATGCTCTGCTGTCAAGATTTTTGTCTTTCTTTTTAGTTTTCAGTGATTGGATTAGGATGTGTCTGGGCTTGTGTTTCTGTGGGCTTGTCCTGTTTGGGGTTCATGGAGCTTCTTGAATCTGCACACTAATGTATTTCACCAAACTTGAAGAGTTTTAAGCCAAATTTTATCAAATATCTTTCTGCCCCTAGCTTCTCTTCTGGGAAGCCAATAGCGTGACTGTTAGCCCTTGTGGTATTGGTGTAGGCTTCTGAGACTCTGTTCAATTTTTCCAATAGTTTTTTCTCTGTTGTTCAGATTGGGTAACTTCTATTGTTCTGTCTTCAAATTCTCAGATTCTCTGCTTTGTAATCTCCATTTTGCTACTGAGCCCATCCAGCAAATTTTTCTTATTTCTGTTGTTGTGTTTTTCAGTTCTAACATTTCCATTTGGTTCTGCCCTCTGTCTTTTATTTCTCTGCTGAGACTTTATATTCCCACTTATTCGCAGTGTTTTCGCCCTTACTTGTTGGAGCACTGATGACACGTGCTCTCACGTCTTTCTCAGGCACTCCCAGCGTCTGTGCCGTCTGGTGTTGTCCTGCACTGATGGCCTTTTTCCATAAGGGTGGACCTTGCTTGGCTTTCCACGTGCTGAACGATTTCGTGTTGTGTCCTAGACGTTTTGGACATCGTGTTATGAGACTCTGGACCTTGTTCACTTCCAGTGGAGGATGTTGGTATTCTTGTTTTACTATTATCTTGTTGACTTAAGTCTGCCAGTTCCCACCTGCCATCTCTGGAGCTGGTTTCCACGTCAGATTATTTTCACAGCCTTTGCCTTGCCGTGTATACCTGCCCTGCAGGTGTGCCACCCCATGGCCAGGCTGACCTTGGCAGTGGAGGAGATAAAGGATGGCAGTGGGAAAAATGGTGAAGTACAAATTAAGCCTGCAGTTTAGTTGAACAAACAAACACCTCCTCTGAGCAGGCTGATGGCAGCAGCTCGGCTGGGCCCAGAACATGCAGCCCGGTCCCCTCGGTGACATCACTCCTGTGTGAGAACCAGGGTGATGAGTCGACAGCAAGGCTTGGGAACAGAGCTGCTGTGGGGCAGACTCTCCTCACCCTCTGCCTGCAGTGTCGGCCCCGGGGGCGTTCAGCTTGCCGTCCAGGCCTCAGACAAACAACTCAGACGATTTTACAGCACGTTTCAAAGGGGCTCTGATTTATTTTAAAAGAGGGGGATATTCTTTCCTCAGGAAAGTTCATCCCAGGTGGGAGCTGATGAGCTGAACAGGGAACAGGCCTGTACGGCACTTGATCTCGTGGGTCACAGTTACGTCAGCCAACTCTGTGAGCATGGAGCCAGCGAGGATGCACCCGAGGGGCTCGCTGGGCACCGCGGTGTGTGGTGCCGCCTCGCTGTATCCTTTCCTGGCATCACAGACATCGACTCCGTGTCCTCTAACACGCAGCCCCCTTCCAGCCCTCGCTGTGCTCCCAGCAGGGGAAACGCTGAGATCCCTGCTTCTTGACCACCTCGCTCTCCTAGGCGCCCGGCTCTCCCTCCTTAACGGGCTGCCCTGTGGGCTCCCTACCCTGAAGCTGCCGACCCCAAGCTTCTCCAGCAGCCACGGTAGGTGTGGGCAGCTTGCCCTCTCCTCCCGTGTCTGCAGTTGGTCCAAGAGACACCCTGAAGACAGAGTTTCACGGGAGCGTGGCCTTTAGAGGTGGACAGTCAGGCAAATGGGGCCCAGCAGCGAGCTCTGGGGAAGCGAGGTGGACAGCCCCCCAGGTAGGGCAGGCGCGGAGGTGGTGGCCAGCATGACTGAGGTGGGCACGGAAAGCTGCGTTTGCCGTCTTTCCCACCCAAGTGTCTAATTTCAGGAGAGCATGTGGGCCTCGGGAGGGGCGGGGGCAGGTGGAGACGTGCCCTGGAGGGGCGAGCTCTGACGCCCACGTCTCTCTCCCGTTGCAGGTGACCCCAGGGTTTGAAGAAAAGGAGGGGGAGCTCCTGGTCAGGGGGCCCTCTGTGTTCCGGGAATACTGGGACAAGCCGGAGGAAACAAAAACCGCCTTCACCTCGGACGGCTGGTTCAAAACAGGTAGGACGGAGGGTCCAGAGGGGACGGGAGGGTCACCCGGGTACCACCGCACTGGGACGTCCCCACAATCCTCCCTGGTGGGCAGAGATGGGGTGGGGTACTCTTTGTGCTTCCGTCTTAAAGGCTGCACCTCCCACACTGCACCCCAGCCCCCCTGAGGCCTCTAGAAGGAAGGTCCTGAGGCCATGACCCGCAGGGGGGCTAGCAGCCCCCAGCCCTGTGGCCAGGCTCCCGTCCTGTCCCTTGGCCCAGCAGCCCTGCACGAGGTGGTCCCTCTGCCCCTCGTGGGTCAGGACTCTCCTTCCCGAGTGACCAGTGCACTCCACCTCCGAGACCCTCCTGGGCGCCGCGCCCTCCCCGCCGCCACCGCCCCCTGCTTTGTAACCCCGCCCCCGTTTTCACAGAAGGAGGTTGGTTTTCACTTTGGTTTGGGTCCCTCGTTACGTTACTCCCTGCCCTGAAGTCTGCACTCTCTCGCCTGCTAGAGCAGCACGTGGAGCCAGGGCCCGGGGTCTGTGCGTGGGCAGGCAGGCACCCACCCCCCAACCTCGGAGCCCTCTCACCGGACGCGCACCCGGGTCCCGCTCTGAGGAGCCCCACCCCTTCTGTCCGCCCCGCCCCCCTCCTCCTTGGTCCAGGCGGTCCCATCGATGTGGACGATTCGGCAGGTACTGGGTGTATTCACGGTTGCAGCTGCATTGATTCACTGCGTTTGTGTTCACACGACACACCAGAACAGCAGCTCGTGACAGCCAGAAGGTGGGGTTCTGGGGTTTCTCTTTTTCTTATTGCCTGTCTGTATTTCTAAAACTTTCATACTGAAAATGCATTATTTCATAATAATAATCTTAAAGCAGTATTTTCCGAGAAGGAAGGCCTGTTACCCCGTCCGTCATGTGCTGGCCTCATAATTAGAAACGCACCTCTTGCCAGGTCTTCTGTGGACCACAGAGCTGAAGAGAAAGGCTGTGTGGGGGGCGCGGCCGTGACGGGGTGCCGGGCGCACCTGGGGGTGGGCAAGGAGGTGCACAGTGGGTGTGTCCTTGGCCTGGTAACCCCTTGGGGAACTGCTGCTGGCCGATACCACACACGTGTCTTCTCCACGGGCTCGGGCAGCACGGGTTAGGAAGGGCAGAAATCACCTCCAATCTGCCGCCGTCGTGGGCCTGAGGTCACCAGGTGACAGAGCCGGCGGCCACGTGCAGACCCCCCGAGGTCTCGGGGTGCTGGGGCTCCGCTGGGTGGGGCTTGAGGGGGAAGGGGCACATGAGGGGTTCTCCTGGGGGACCTTGGGGCTCCATTTCGGGCCCCCCAGAGCAGAGGCCTGTGCCAGGAGCCCTGGCCAGCGCCAGCAGAGGGCTCTGTGGTTGGGGCCCAGGAGCCCGGGCCACCTGTCCGTGCGGCATATTCACACGCGCCCCGGCTTCCCTTTGTAAACTTCGCGTTCATATGGGCCAGCCTGGTGGCAGCCAACCACTATCATTGTCCTTCAAATGCAGTATTTAAGAAATACTACTTTTGAGCTAATCTTGCTTTTTTGTGGGTCCCTCCTGTAGCCCTCCGAGTGTCCTGACTTGGAAATCTGACTTCTTTGTGGCCATCCTGTTTCATTTTTAAATTCAGCTAAAGAGCTGCAACTTTTTTTTTTTTAAAGCACAGGAACCAAAGCCCTGTGGATTTTGCAGATAGCAGGGCTCGCTGAACGCTGGGCCGGCAGCGCTGCGAAGTGCAGGGCAGTCAGCGGTAAAACATTTTAGTCCCTGGTCGTGATGAATATTTCAGTTGAAAGGAATAGCATGCATTAATTATCGTAAAGAGATGTCTTTAGGAGAAAATGATTTTGAAATTCAGTTTAATTTCATTGTAATGCGCAGCAAACAGGAAGGGAGTCTGTGTGTTTAATTGGCTCTCGGGGGTGAGGCCTGGAAGCCGCGTGCCTTTGTCACAGGCCATTAGCGATACAGGCTGCATAATGAGCGCGGCAATCAGCTCACAGCTGCCGCTCCTGCGGGGGAGAGCGTGATATTAAATAGAAATCAGGATGAATTAAACTTAACCCTTTCCCTGGCCAGCCCTTCCTGCCACACAGATTCTGGCCCGGGCTGGAGAGGGGCCGCGTCCAGCCGGCTTCTCCTCAGGGCCCCCTCCGTGTCTGGACGAGAGGAAAGAGGCCTCCCTCGGCCATGCCAGCCATGGCCGCCCTCCCTGCCCTGCATGAAGCCTGGTTTCCATCGCCAGGGAGCTCCTTGCCAGCCCCAGGGGTCCTGGCTGCAGCTCAGGCCGGAAACCAAAGCTCTCTATCCAGAAGCACCTCCAATGGCGACCCTGATCGTGTTCCACCTGCGCACGCCAGGCTGGGGAGAACCTTCCACACGCACACGGGCCCAGTGCTGGCCGGGGCAGGGAGATGGCAGTGCCGGGAGCCCCCTCTGCTCAGGGCTTTACCTTGACCCTGCGGACGGAGCTGAGGACACAGGGATGCAGGGACTGGGCTGAGCTGGGCTACAGCTCCTACCCTTGACCCTGCGGACGGAGCTGAGGACACAGGGATGCAGGGACTGGGCTGAGCTGGGCTATAGCTCCTACCCTCTGGACATCGTAGAAAGACTGTGACTGAACACGAGGAAACAGAAATGGTATCTCTGCCTTATTCTAAAGAAGACTTCCTTACACTGTTTACTGTTAGAAAGTGACGTAGTAAACTGCACACACCTAATGACAAGTCAACACAGTTGTAGAAGAAATTTAGGTAACTGGGGAAAAGGTCTGTAAGAAAACCCTTGCAGAACATTAACGGGGGTATCTTGGTGCTGCTGAGTTTACTGCCTTTTTTTTCTTCTCTAATGAGCACATGATGTTATCAGGGGAAAACATAAAAGGCTATTTATATAAGAAAAAAAGACTCCCTAGCAGGAAACAAGAGAGCCCTGGGTGCACATGTGGCCGAGGTCTGCAGCCTCGGTGGAACATGGAGTCCACCGAGAAGTCAGTGAGGGCCAACTGGGGCTGAGGGAGTGGGTCCCTTGAGCCCAGTAGCCCCAGTAGGAAAAACGAGCCACGGCCACGGGCAGATCGAGAGGAAGTGCAATTGGACATAAAAATACGGAAAACGTTTTACTTCCTTGTGGTGAAAGAGCAAGTATGGAAACAGTCTCCTTTCACCAAACTGGCAGAGATTCTTCCGAAGTTGACACTTGGTGCTGTGAGGCAGGTGCTTGGCACCCGCGGGCGGGTTGTGTGTCAGGAGGGCTCCTGGGAATCTGTTCAAAGGAAACCGGGTGCGGGGGGACACATACGATGTTTATAAAGTGGGAAATTGGAGTCCGTTGTTCTGCGCTGGGCTTGTGGGTGCCTCGTGGTGCATCCAGACCACAGAGGATCGTGAGCCTTTTGCAACCACGACTCGAGCGATCCTGGCCTGAGGGAGCCCCTGCTGGCGTGCACCACACACGTGTGTGTGTGTGTGTGTGTGTGTGTGTGGCCGTCATGCGGGTTTGCACCGCCAAGCACAGACGCTAGCTGCTGTCTCTGTGATTGTCATCTGTCCCTTTGTTTTCTCTCTGCCAGTGTTTCCTCAGTAAGCTTCGTTCCCTTACAAACACGGACGAGAAGTATAAAATCTTTCCAGTTGTCATGTGACGAAGGCCCCAGGGTGGACCTGGGCGTGAGCTCCGTCCTCTTGCCCAGCCGCTCACTCTGAGCCACACTGAGCTCTGATGTGGTTCTCCAGAAAGCAGTGCTTTTATTTTGACCAACAATAGTTAGGAATCAGGCAGCATGTTGAAAGGAGGGCGCCCAGTGCTTCGTGTTAGGGGTGTGACAGCACATGTAGCTGGAGGTGGTCGACCCCTTCACGTCTGCTGACCGCGTACGACCAGAGCCCTGGGCAGGGCCCCCAGGCCCCCCAGGCCATGTGGTGTGGTCAGGCTGCCGATCCCGCCGGCCCTCCCCCTGCCCCGCGGGGCTTGGGCTCTGTGTGGAGGCGCCCTGTGAACAGGAGGCTGGGGCTGTGTTGCGGGCCTGTCTGCTGGTCGTCCCTTTGTTCCCCAGCGGTCGTCAAGAGCTTTTCCTCCATGTTCTTCTGAAACGCCCGGCTTTGTTGGAGTTAAGTCTCCGAGCCACCTGGAGTGGCTTCTGTGCGGACGGCGTGTCCCCATCCTGCGTGCTCTTGCTGGTCCTCTGCCTTGCCCTTTGTTTTTTGTTGTTGTTTGTTTTTCTGGGTTTGTTTTGTTTGTTTGTTTGTTTGGCTGCACCAGGTCTTAGTTGTGGCGTGCAGGATCTTTAGTTTCGGCATGTGGGTTCTAGTTCCCCAACCAGGGATCAAACCTGGGCCCCCTGCATTGGGAGTGCAGAGTCGTAACTACCGGACTGCCAGGGAAGTCCCTACGCTGCCTTTTGGCCGCTGCGTCTACCCTGGTCGGCCTCAGGCCTCTGGGCAGAAGGTCTTTGTTTTTATCAAGGCCCCACGTGCACAGCTGGAAGACTCCAGTGGTCTGTCTGGTTTGGGAAGAAGGCTGCATGGCCCTCGTACCCCAGCCGTGCCCATCTTGGCTACCTGGAGGCTGCCAGATGCCTGTGGACACACCGTTCAGGGTTGAGCCACGTGGGAGCCGCAGTGTTTCCCGAGGCAGGAGGGCTCATCTGTTCTGGCCTCCAGTCCTCCTGGGAGACCCCCCCTGTGCTTGCCACCCACGCCAGTGCACAGCTCCCACCGGCCTCCTTTCTCCTCGTCGGCCACGTTCCCCAGGAGCCTCCTGAGGCTGGGTGGGTGGGAGGTGAGCTCAGGAGAGCTCGTGTCTGCCAGCGTCTTCGTCCTGGCTGGGCCGGGTACAGGAGTCTGGGCTAGAAATTGTCTTTACTGCTGTCAGGCCTCCACGTGTGCTGCTGGCTGCAGCTGCGTTATTCCTGGCGCATCATGACCTTTCCCCTCTTGAGGTCCTAGAGAATCTTCCCTTTGCCCTGGGAGCCCTGAAGTCGACAGGCCATGCACCCTAGGGGCTCTGGAGACCACGTCTTGTAATTCCGGGGGTTGATGGCTGATTTTCTCCCCTCTGATGCCCAGCAGGGGTCCGGGGGCTGGGAGCAGGAAGAGGGGGTGGGGAGGCCCAGCCACCGCTGCTCAGGGCCCGTGGACTCCCGTGTCGCCGTCCACCCTCCTCCGTCCGCAGAGAAGGACCTGCGGCCGTGCGCTGGGGGCCGGTGCCGCTGTTCCTCGCTCGGCCCGCCCTCGCCACCTCCCGCAGGGCGCCTGCCACCCTGGCCATAACCCGCCTCACACAGCCTCCCTCCGCCCGCGGGGTCTGTCCGCTTGCTTCCCGGCCGCCAGTCCGCTCACTGTCGTGCCCTCTCCTGTCTCCCTGCGCGCGGCTTTGGGCCTCGAAAACGACAGTTGCTGTTGATTTCACTCCGAGAGGGAGAGAACCAAGCTGTGTGCTCAGGCGAGGCTTCCGCTCTGGGAGGTTGTCGTGTCTTCGTCTTCCTTCTAGCGTCTTCCTTGGCCTCCTGCACAGCCACGTGTGAGGGGCACAAAGCCGCTGGGGCCTCCTCCCTCCGTCTCCGCGGGGTCCCTCCTGGGTCTTCTGTGTCTCGAATATCCCTCTGCCCCCACCCCTCACAAGGACGTGTGTGATCACACTGAGGCCACCGGGTAGTCCAGGGTGGTGTTGACATCTGTCGGCAACCCTGCCTGACGGTGGTCCCGGGAAGCAGCAGGGCTCTCCCGCGGGGCTTTTCCTCACTCGGCACACAGACCCCCAGACCTCGCCCGGGACAGTGTCCGTGTGTCCTCAGCGCCATCCCTACCGCTGCGGTGCCTGGCTTTTCTCAGAGAAGATCCTAATTCTCACTGCTCTTCATCAGGCTGGATGAGGGTCAGTGTAAGAGCTGGTGACAGGAGACAGTGCAAGGAAGCCGCTGTAACTGTGAGCTGGTGCGCGGGGAGGGGCACCTGGAGATGCCACAGAAGTGATGTCTGAGCAGAGGGACAGCGAAGGGGATCGGGCAGATGGAGAACCAGATGCCGCAGATGGGGTAGCGGGTGTGAGCACCCCTGGGGTGAAGGCCGTGGCTGGGGGCCCTGCCGTAGGGCGTGTGGGTGCAGCCGTGGGGAGCTCTCACCCTGACTTAAGTTGGTGTCACACAGAGCGAAGAGGGTGCAGGCGACATGGCCAGAGGCCCCGAAGCAATGTCGGCCTTGGTATGGGCAATGGGGGCATCCCTGGCAGGACCAGGGCAGGGCAGTGACCCCCACCCCCAACACCGCTGGGTCTCTGGCCGGCGGAGGCCTGTCTGGGCCATTGGGTGCATTTAAGGGGTTGGTGTCCAGTGGTTGGGAAGCCGTCGGGAGACCCAGTGGCTGTCCAGTGTGGAGGGGACATGGCTGGAGCCGGGGCCGCACAGCAGGAATGGGAGAGGGGCCCCGGTGGGCCTCATGGGATGGGGGCAGACTGCGTCCTGTCCCTGCGGCCCGCCTTTTACTCCACGCCTGCATCCTTGCCCACCAGCCGGCCACCTGCTCCATCCCTCTGTCCGGAGACCACAGTGCCTCTCGTTCCTTCTGCTTCGCATCAGGCAGGAGGCCCCACACCGGCAGGAGCCCAGCTCCTGCTGCATCACAGCCAGGCAGTGCCGTCCGTCTCGTTCGTAGGCTGGGGCGCCCCGCGTGGCAGGCCGCCAGGAGTGCGAGCTGACGGATGGGCCTCCTGCGCTGGGCGGTGTGATGTGTCATGAAGTATTGATGATTTATTCCAGCTAATCACCCGTGTGCAGCATGGGGTGTGTGAGAGCAGACGGTGAAGCGTCAGCGCCGCTCTCAGAGTGCACGGTGGGCGTCCCCACGTGTCCGTGCACACGTGTGTGTGCCCGCTCACGCTCAGCCCCACCTCCCCGACCGCAATGCCCTGTCTGGCGTGCGGCCCCGGCCCTCACTGAGCTCATCGCCCCCCACTCAGGTCTCTAGCGCCTCCTGAGGTGGGACCGCGTGGGTCCTTAGCTGGGCAGGGCTCCCGCCAGGACCACGTCCAGGAGAAGTGGGTGGGGAAGCCCCGGCGCTGAGCATGCCGGGTGGGGGGGCGGGGTCCCTCGGGGTCCCTCCCTCCTGCCAGACCCCCGTGTGACATTGCGTATGGTCCAGAGCCCTGTTGGGAAAGGGCCTGCTGTGGCCCTGCTGTGGCCAGGACCCCAGGGAGGCCCTGAAGCTCTTCTTTCCTGCCTCCGTGGTCCTGGGCTGTTTCACGGGGGTCCTGCCCGTCCCTGTGGGAGGCCGCCACCTGCCTAGTGGCAGGGCCACGGAGGCGTCTGGCGTCGGCGTCACGCGAGGTCCCAGCCGTCTGCCTGGTGCTTGCTGCCTTGTCCCAGAAAGGTGTTGATGCTCCCAGACGCGGGGCCCACACGTGCCGGGGAGGGTGGCATTCACGTGCGTGTGCAGCACCCACTGCGGCCGAGCCAGGTGCCTCCCGCTGACCCGAGCCTCTCCCCAGGTGACACAGCTGTGTTCAAGGACGGCAACTACTGGATCCGCGGCCGCACGTCCGTGGACATCATCAAGAGTGGCGGCTACAAGGTCAGCGCCCTGGAGGTGGAGCGGCTCCTGCTGGCCCATCCCAGCATCACGGGTGAGCGGCCAGGTGCCCGGACCCTGACCTTTGGATGACACAGCTGCACTCGGCCACCCGGGCTGTCTCGGGACCAGTCCAGATGTGTCTTTCTGTGTGTGTGTTGTTGACAAAACGGGGACCTGACCTGTGCTGAGGGGGCACAGCACCAGGGCCTGCCTCCCATCCCCTCCCCACCCCTCCCCACAGTCGGCCTGCTCCCCCGCCCTCCGCCTGGGTCCAGGCTGGCCAGGTGCAGGCCGGGACCCCGTGCTCAGGAGTGGTGGCGTCCTGGGCCGTCCTGGCCCCTCAGAGACTCCGTATCCCCTGTCTCTGGCCACTAGGCGGGCTTCTCTGGGGCGGCGGGTCCCAGGTGTTTCCCGCAGGTGCCCGCTGCCCTGCAGCCTGTGGTGCTCGTCCTCCTGTGCTTCTGAGGTCCCCCACCCTCTTCTTTCTCCGCAGACGTGGCTGTGATCGGAGTTCCAGACGTGACGTGGGGCCAGCGGGTCACCGCAGTGGTGACCCTTCAAGAGGGACACTCGCTGTCCCACAGGGAGCTCAAAGAGTGGGCCAGGTGAGGGCCGGGCGGGTGGGCGGGGTCTCGGGCTGGGGGCTGAGGGCCAGGTGACGTGGTCCTGTAGGAGCTGCGCCCCCCACACCACACACACATGCACACACACGCATACGCGCACACACATACATGCACACGCACACTCATACGCGCGTGCAAAGGGCCCCGGGGAAGCTGTGTCGTGACGATGGGAGCAGATGTAGGACCCCGACCCCTGACTCAGGTGTAAGCTTCCGAGGCCGGGTCAGAGGTGGACGGGGTCCCATGGTGAGTGAGTGCGTCCCCTCCTGGGTGTAGGAGGAACCTTGTCAAGGAAGGTCCGTTCCCAGGAGCTGAGCTCAGAGCCATCCCGATGGGACCCCGGGGCGTGGGCTGAGCAGGCTCGGGGCGCTGCTGGGCCCGAAGCACGTGCTAAGCGCAGGGCATCACACGGGCCCCTGGGTGCCCGCTGCTGGCCCCAGGCCAGAGCTCAGAAAGGAGCTGTGAGTTACATCCCCAAGGCCTTTATTTTAGATCCAAGAGGTCCCTCCTTCTGGCCTCTCTCCCCACACCCCCTCCTCCTCTGCACGGAAGATACTTGTGGCTCAGCCACCGTGATTTCACAAACAGGAGGAATCCTTGTTTATCAGGGCAGCACAGCTGGGCGATTAGATTCCCCTGGATTTGCAAAATCACAGTTGGAACTTTGCAGTTTCACAAAGGCACGAAGAAGATTCTAGTCGGCTTTGCCGCTTTGGTTAAACAGTTGCTTTGTTAAAAGAAAGAACCTGCCATCCTGTGCTGAGAGCAGGTCTCTCGGCCCTCAAACCTGCTCCTTCACGCCCGGGGCTCCCGTTGTCCCCTCACCGCAGGGGCCCGTGCTGCCGGCTGTGGGCCTGAGACCCCGGCTGGGGCGGCGCCGTGCTGTGTGCTGAGGCTTTGGGTCCCTGGGGAGATGCTCCCAGCAGGGCGGGCCTGGGGCGGGTGGTCAGCCTGCAGTCTCCACGCGGCCGGTTCCCTGGGCTTTGTGTCCTCCCATGGGGCGGTCACTGGACAGTGACCCCGCGGCTGCCCACCCTCTGGAGGGAGGGCAGGGACCTTCCTTTCAGAGCGCAGGGCCGGCTCCGCCCCCTCATGGGGGGGAGTGGGGGAGGGGCCTCACTCTGAGGTTTCCAGACGTTGGCTCAGTGAAGCTGCTCTTTCTTTCTGTGTCCTGTTCGTTGCCATTTGGGGGTCTTTTTTAAAGGGTTTTTTTTTTTTTTAAATAATGTCTTCCCTTTTGCTGCCATTTTTTTCATTTCTGAAGATTCTTGAATCTTACAAGACCCCCAAGCAAAGGTCTGTCCTACGTCCTCCTGCAGACCCTGTGCTGTGCTCCTAGTGGAGTTGGGGGAGGCTGGCACCCCCGCCCCAGCTCAGGCACCGTGACACTTGGAGGGGCCGGCGTGGCCTCTGGGCTCGGTGGCAGCACCACGTTCCCGGTCTGGGACGTGGCCTGCCCACCAAACTGTCCAGTTGCAGTGGCCCACGTGGGGCTTACACCCCAGGGATAATTCAGAAATCCGGTGTCCAGATGGCGCAGGCGCTGCCGTCCGATCAGACCGTGGAGGGGAGATGTTGCTGGGCCCCCGGGCCACCTCCCTTCCCCACGGGGCTGAGCGGTGGAGCTGAGGCCGCCGCTGCCCACGGGGCTTTTCCCACAGGGAAGCTGGCTCTGTAACAAACCACTCAGCCCTGCTGTGCTCCTGCCCAGGGCCTCACTTGGCCTGGGAGCTGCTCTGACAGTTTCCTATGAGACCAGTTGCTAAGCTGACGCCCCTCGTAGGAGAACAGGGTTTGTTCTCAGAATCCGCGGGTCTGCAGGCTTTAGAGTGCGTCCCTCTACGTCCTCAGCTTCTGCTTCTTCGTGGTGGCCGTGAGTTAGGCTTCCGGCTGTGTGTCCTGCCTTTGCTGTGACCCCACCCCGCCTGTGCTCTGTCGTCCTACCTTTTACTTTTATGTCGTTACAAGGCCCACGCTATGTGCTTGAACACTTTTTGTTCAAACGGTTATCTCTTAAGGAGGATTCGCTAATAAGGAAGATGACACGTATCCTGTCTGGCACTCTCCCCCCATGGCGGCCCCTCCCACCACAGACCCTCAAGTGTGGGGAGTGGGTCAGCTGCTGGGGACCCCAAGCTCCTGTGTCTGAAGCCTTTAACTTCATCTTCATCCTTGAAGGAGACCTTCTCTGGGTTTGGGATTCTAGACAGACGGGGTTTCCTTTTCCTTCGTGCTCCACTCCCGCCTCACCTACTCTTCACGCAGGGCCTGCATCCTTGCGGCTGCCCCTTGACCCGCTCCACGCTGGTGGGCGGAGAGGAGGTGGGTGCCGCCTGGGAGGCGGTGCTGTGCCGCGGGGGGCGGGGAGCGGGTGTCCCTGGTGGAACCTCCGTGACCTTTGGCCCGGAGCAGGCGATTTGCGCCAGAGCTGCCCCGAGGTAACAGTGTTTCTCTCCATCTGTGGGCAGGTGGATGCAGGCACCAGCTACTGAGGCCAAGGGACGGGGTTTCTCTGCCCGCCCTCGCCGGCCCTTTGCTGCACACGTCCTGAGTGGCCAAGGCTGTCCCTACTCCTGCGGGCCCCGAGCAGACTTCGCGGTGCTGCTGTCCAGAGCCCCACTGCCCGATGCCCCGCTGTCTGCATCACTGGCAGCAGCCACAGAGCGCAGGGCCTTTGTGGGCCAGGAGGCCACGATGGGTGGCCCCTCTCCCCACCACCCCAGGCGGCATCCTATGCACCTGCTGGTTCCTTATTGAAGGGCCCCATGTGCGGCCCTCGAGCAAGGAGCAGGTAGCTCTGCTCAGGAGAAGCCTGGGCGTGGTGTGCAGAGCTGCCTGGGGCTGGGCCCACCACGTGGCCGTTCACAGGAGGGCGCATTGTCTAACGGTGCTCCTCTTGGGGGTGCGGCTGCAGGCCAGCTGCTGGACCCAGACGGCCACTCCTACTGCTTGGGCACCAGGCTCTGGGGTGGGAGGGTGGCTCCAGCCGGCGTGTGTGGTCATGGCACCCAGGGGTCTGTGAGGTGCCCACCCACCTCCCCCAGCTGTCTGGCCAGGGCTGCAGTGAATGGACCGCGAGGTAGGACCAGTTCTTTCCAGCTCAGGGGCTCAGGGGCGGGGTCTCGGGAGGCCTGGCCCTGGGTGAGGCTCACCCTCTCCCCCAGTGGGCAGAGGGGCGTCTCCATGCCCAGGACCAGGCCCCGACCTGCTGCGGAGGCCCCACCCGCGCCCGTGGCTCCTGCCCTCAGGCCTGGCCTGTCTCTGCAGAGGTGTCCTGGCCCCATACGCGGTGCCCTCGGAACTCCTGCTGGTGGAGGAGATCCCGCGGAACCAGATGGGGAAGGTCAACAAGCAAGACCTTGTCCGGCAGCTCTACCCGCGCGACTGGGCTGCCCCCAAGACCGGGCGCCAGTGAGCCGGCTTCCCGCCTGGCCACGCCTGACCGGAAGGAAACCGCCTCGTGCCCTCTGTCCCGGCCTCGTGGCCACGGCACACCACACAGCTCCATGTGCTCTGCAGTCCCCGCCCCCCAGGTCCCTGCAGGTCTGGAGGTGTCACGGGGAAAGCAGGTCTCCCTGGAAACTCAATAAAGGCTCCACAGAGAAGCAGACACCTGTCCTGCGCTCCTTCCCAGGGCCTGCGTGGTCCCTGCCCACGGCACAGGGAGGGCCCGGTCTGCACGCGTGTGCACGGTGCACAGGGTGGGGGTCTCTCTGGTGGACTCGGACGATGGTCCTGGGCGTCCAGGGGAGGGCGTTTCCCACCACACGAGTGCCTTGCTGGGGTGTCCGGCATCCGTGGCCCTGGCAGAGGCTCTCTAGGCTTCAGGGCCAGGGATGCAGCTCATGTGACCAGAGGACCCTCGGCCCCCAGAGGGGGCCTCCTGGACCAGGGGTCGGCACCACTCTGGGACGGGCCAGGGGGCCAGTATTGGGCTCTGGGGCCAGTGTTCCTTGTCGAGGCCGCAGCCCGGGCCCCACAGACCTCATACAGAGTCCAAAGTGCAGTAGCCAGAGGCTGAGCACGAATGGCCCCGCAGCTGCTCTCCTTGACCCCCATCCCCTCCCCTGTGCTGCTCCCTCCACGACACCCCCTGCCCCCTTTGGCCTTTGGATGTCTCCCTCTCCTTCCCAGACCGCCCCCACCCGGCCCTGCTGCCCGGCCCCCAGGCTCCCTGCCCTCCTCAGCCAAGGGCAGAGGCACCCTTGGAGGCCCTGGTGTCGTGGGGAGGATGGGCAGAAGCCAGGACAGAGCCGAGGACCTGGTGGGCAGCACGTGGGGGCCAGGGCTGCTCCCCCACCCTGTGCGCGTGACCTGTGACTCCACGAGACTGGCCCTGGGCACGGCGTTTGCTCGGAGGAACGTCCACCCCAGCGCCCTCCTGCCCGAGCCCTGGACACGCACTGGTCACCCGCCTGTTTGGCGCTGGCCCACAGCCCAGTACTCTCAGGGCAGCACCGGACACTGTGGCTCCTGCTGTCCTCGTGTCCTGGGACCTGGGGACCGCGAGCTCCTGGGAAGAATCAGTTCCCACGTCCCCAGATCTTTACTTCATCCCACTGGTTGGACTCTGTGTCTGTCTTGATACTGAAAATGTGATTCCTGAAAACGTTCACGCCGTCATCTGCCTTCTGCTATCGTCTGTACAAACCACGTTACGAAGAATAACGGCCATCTTTGACCGAGAGCAAGACCGGGCTGGGTCGCTGACAGGCTCTTAGACCTCGCCCCTCAGGATGCAGAACGTGGCCTGGCCCCTGCCCGCCCTGCCTCCTCGGCGCCCTCGGGCCAGGTTCATCCTCTGTCGCTCCTCACGTGGGTCCAGCCCAGCCTGGCGGGGGCCCTGGCCTGGCCCTCGAGACAGACAGAGCCCCACTTGCTAAGCCAGCAAGGCTGAAGGTCCCGAGGCTTTGGGAAAGTTCCCGGGGCTGGAAATGCCTCAGCCTGGCGGCTCCGTGTTGCCCTGCGCTCGACTCCCAAACCAAAGCCGGGGGCGGGCACCCTGGGCTCTGTCAAACCCGTAGTGCTTGGATCTCGCTTGGAGGGCCTCCTGGGCACAGCGGGAGTGGACATGTTGAGAGGCAGCAGGAAGATAAGGGCGCCTGGCAGGGGCTGCTCCTCGGACGCCGCTCCCTCGGGGGCAGGGGGAAGGCCCGCGGTGGAGGGTCCGCACCTGCCACGTCCCTCCCTCCGGACATAAACCTGCCGGGTGTTCAAGGCTCTGCTGCCGTCTGCCTGCATTTATTCACCAGAGCTCAGCATCCACGTGGGATGCGCAGAGGGCCCGCTGAGGAGACCCCGGGGGTCGGGCGGGCTTGAAACGGCCACAGAAATGGCAAGGCTGACACCGCGACACCTCAGGGCCCACGCGCCCCCTGCGCCACCCCCCGCCCCGCCCCCTGTTCTGTGACGTGAGGCTGCTGCCCCCTCAGGGCTCCGCCCGAGGACGGAGGCCTGAGCTCCCCGGGGGAGCCAAGGTGGGCAGCTGCCCGCTGGACCCTGTGCTGTGAGGGGGCGGAGCCCAGGGAGGGCGCGGCGAGGAGGAGGGGGGAGCCCAGCCCCCACGGGCGACGACAGCCCATCTCCGGGAGGCCCGGACCAGTGTCCCCGGACAGAGAGCCCACCCCAGGGCTGGTCAGGAGCGTGGACGCCACAACAGCAGGGCTGTCCCAAGGGAGCCGGGCCTGCCTCTGCCAGTGCCTGAGGTCCCCCAGACGCCCTCGGATGCTGGGCCCACCCGTGAGGCCCCCAGAGTTGTCCACGTCCTGGCCCCCTACGCAGGCCCAGTGTCACCCCCGTGGAGAGGGGCAGGAGTGCAATAACGCGCAGCCCTCAGCACGCGGCCATTGCTGCGCGCCTTTACCGCGCAACCCTAGTTACTAGGCAACGGTTCCCGCGAGACCGCTAACGCGGGCTGTTTAGAGCGGTGGTTAGAGGTCCCGCTAGGCCGGCGGTCGGCGGGGCGGTGGTCCTCCAGTGCAGAGCGAGGTAAGAGGCGGATGGCGGCCTTCTCTCCGGGGCTCTCCAGACCCTCCGGCCTCGGGCTGGCGGCTGGCGGGTGAGCTGAGGGCCTGGGAACAGGCTGGGGGTGTGCCCTGCAGGGCTCCAGAGCCCTCGCCAAGGCCGCCCACTGGCGGGGCGGAGGCCTTGAGGCGGCCGTGAACCTCTCCGCCATCCCCGCCTCTGCGACCTAATGGCAGCGGCAGTCTGCATGGGTCTCAGCCCGTGGGACCTGGCACCCTCCCCCCCAACCCCCGTTTGGGCGGCCCGAGGAGCCTGAGGGCCGGCTGGGTCCTGGGCGCCTGGCTCCTTCAGTGATGACGGCTGGGCAGGGTCTGGGGACCCGGCCCTGAGGGTGCCGCCAGCTGAGATCTGCCTCTTCAGCCTGGGCACTGGCGGGAGGACCCAGGCTGGGTGCTGGACAGACGCTCCAGGGCAGGGCAACCACGCCCCCGCAGGGACCGCCGTTTCTTAGCCCGGACCTGGACCTCGGAGGGTGAAAGTTGAGCCTTGGGACCTTCCCTTCTTCTTGTCAGAACAGGGAGTACCATTTGTTTGGTGGGGATTTACAGGATCATCGTGACCTGACTGTGACCTAACCTCAAGAACAAAGGACCTGCAAATCAAAACTACAGTGAGGTATCACCTCACACCAGTCAGAATGGCCATCATCAAAAAATCTAGAAACAGTAAATACTGGAGAGGGTGTGGAGAAAAGGGAACCCTCTTGCACTGCTGGTGGGAATGTAAATAGATACAGCCACTCTGGAGAACAGCATGGAGGTTCCTTAGAAAACTACAAATAGAGCTACCATGTGACCCAGCAATCCCTCTACTGGGCATATACCCTGAGAAAACCATAATTCAAAAAGAGTCATGTACCACAGTGCTCACTGCACCTCTATTTATGATAGCCAGGACGTGGAAGCAACCTAAGTGTCCATCACCGGATGAATGGATAAAGAAGATGTGGCACATATATACAATGAAATATTACTCAGCTACAAAAAGAAACGAAATTGAGTTATTTGTAGTGACGTGGATGGACCTAGAGTCTGTCATACAGAGTGAAGTAAGTCAGAAAGAGAAAAACAAATACCGTATGCTAACACATATATATGGGATGTAAGAAAAAAGAAAAGGTCACGAAGAACCTAGGGGTAAGACGGGAATAAAGACACAGACCTACTAGAGAATGGACTTGAGGACACAGGGAGGGGGAAGGGTAAGCTGGGGCGAAGTGAGAGAGTGGCATGGACATATATACACTACCAAACGTAAAATAGATAGCTAGTGGGAAGCAGCCGCATAGCACAGGGAGATCAGCTCGGTGCTTTGTGACCACCTAGAGGGGTGGGATAGGGAGGGTGGGAGGGAGGGAGACGCAAGAGGGAAGAGATATGGGAACATATGTATATGTATAACTGATTCACTTTGTTATAAAGCAGAAACTAACACAGCATTGTAAAGCAATTATACTCCAATAAAGATGTTAAAAAAACAAAAACAAAACATAAAAGAACAAAGGATCTGACACCAAGAAGTCTGCAACAACTACCCACGCCCCTTTCTCACCTTTCCCATAAGAGGGCTCTGCCGAAAGCTTTCCAGGAGTTGGAGGCCTTTCAGGGCATGAGCCACCCACCAGCCCTGTAGCAAACCTTTCTCTGCTCCAAACTCCGACGGTTTGGTATTGTCACTGTGCGTCAGGCACGGGGACTGGAGTTCGGTAACAGCGGGGGTGGAGGCAGGGTGACGGGGTGACAGGAGGTTGGCTCTGCCTCCTTCATTGCGAGCAGGCTGGCTGACTCTTCACACGTTCTCTTGCCCGTGTGGTCTCCTGCAGGATTGCTAAGGGGGCTGCTGGGGTAGAGAGCTGGACATTCTTTCACTGCTGACTTCTTCATTCTTACTTCTTTTCATCTAGGAAAAGAATCAGCGCAGTAGACAAGGCGAGGTGTGCGTTCAGGAGAGCACAAGTCAGGAGTTACTTTCAGTTGCCTGGTGATCTCATTCCTATAATTAGGTTCTTTTAAGGGTAGAGGGGACAGAAGTGGGCAAACAGGAAAGGGGGGAAAGGGCTGCTTTCCGTGTGCCAAACATCTGAAAAACTCTGAATCCCGACACGCTTCTCACGGGGGCGTTTGGATGTGGGACTGGGCCCATCTTACTTAGGGCTCGGAAGGAGGTGGAGGTGGAGGTGGGCCCTGGGACCCTCAGGGCCGGCAGCCTCCTCGGGCCGGGCTGTCTTTGGTGACCAATTTGGGCTCTTCAGTGGTTACTGGTTTATTCAAACTCGTTACTTCCATTTGATGACCTGGGATCTTCTGTAAAACCGTGCACTTCATCCAGGTTTCAGGTTTATTTGCACAGTCCCTTATCAA